AAATCTATTAGCAAAACAAGACAATCTGCTTCAGTGTCAGAGCGAACCTGAACACAAATGAGGCCCGTGACTGATGTTTCTACAGGAAAAACATCTGTTTTATCATGTTTATCATGCATTTGCTGTCGAGTTTCAAACCCATCAGTAACACTCTACAATAAAGTTAAAAAAGGTTTAAAAATATATATATTTTACAATAAAAATACACTATTTTGCTTGGAACCATATGCTTCAATGGCATCTTAGGGATAGATTTTAACTCAGGAAAATAAAATAAAAAATATAAAATTAAATTATAAAAAATTAAATAAAATTATAAAAAATAAGATTAAATTAAACAACGTATTACGTATTTGTAAAAAAACATAATATAAAATATTATAAAAAATAAAATAAAATTATAAAAAATAAGATTAAATTAAACAACGTATTACGTATTTGTAAAAAAAATAATATAAAATATTATAAAAAATAAAATAAAATTATAAAAATTACAAAATAAAATTATAAAAAATGTAAAATTGAAACAGAAATTAAATCAAATGAAATAAGAAATTAATAAAATCAAATAAAACTATAAAAAACAAAACCAAAAAAAAGAAAAATTATAAAATCGAAAAAATAAATAAAACAAAATGAATTTTTGAAAAAATAAATAAAATAAAATAAAATGATAAAATAACAAAAATAAAATAGAATAGAATAAAATAAAATGGAGTAAATTAATGTGCAAAAACAGTATCAAAGCAACTGAGAAAGTGAGTGCTCACTGCTATGATGCTGATGATAAGAGGTGCATTCAGAGTGTCAGGGCTGTCTTTAGCACACAGGACTAACATCATCATCAGACGGATGGACTGTAGCTCAGACTGAGAGCTCATAGCAGCAGCAGCAGGTCTGTAGAGGAACCGCAGAGCGGCGTCTGGATCTGGAGCATGGAGAACGCCAATTACAGCTGTGCTAATGGAGCATCCATCATCCTGGCAGCTGTGTGCAGGTGTGACCACAGACACGCTCCGCTACACCCACAACAACACCACCACCACACCCACACCCACAGCGACATCTCTCTCCATCCTCCCACTGACAGAGTCACACACGCTTCAATCTGACGCACTTCACTGCTGTCTGCTGTCACTCACACACATCTACAGACCAGAAGATCACAGACAGAGCATATGTTCAGATGTGATTCAGTCGTTCACATGCATCTGATCAAATCTGGACACTTTATCAAACCCGAACGAGCCAAGCTCAAACTCAACCAGAAATCCATTCCTTCACATGCAACTTTCTTTTCTTTCTTTAAAGGGGTCCTATT